CATGGAAGGGCAGACCCAGGCAGAAGGAACAGCATGTGCAAAGACTTCAGGCTAGTCCCCAGCAGGATCCAGGTCTGGAAGGACCCTGTGGGCCATGGGGAGGTTGAATTCCTTCTTGAAGCTCCGGAAGGATTTTAAGGAACAAAGCAACAAGATCTGATTTGCATTTTAGATCATCTACATGGAGGATGGGATCACTCATTCTGTTTACTAATATATATTAAAAACAAACCCCTTTTAAATACCAGACATCTCACTGAATCTAGATGAATACTGTCCAGTAGAAACATAATAGGAGCCACATGAGTAGTTTTAAATTTTCTAGTAGCCACATTTTAAAAAGTAAACAGAAACAGGTGCTATCCTTAATAATTCATTTAGCCCAATATAACTAAGATATCCAGGTATTTTTACATTATTATGTTGTTGTTCTACAGCTTCAAAATCCAGTGTTTATTCTTCTCTCAGGTTGCAACTGCTCAATAGCCACCATGCTTACCCTATTGAACAGTGCACGCAGGTGTAGATGGTGCATGGGAAGCAATCACCATCTCTGTCCTCACAGAGTGTAGCGCCTGGAAGAGAAGATCCACAATTAAATGTGCAAACCAGATCGTCCAGGGACAGTGACAGTGGTGGTAAGGGGTGGAGGGGAGGATCCTGACACCCAGGGAGCCCGGCAGAGGGACCTAAGTCAGGGTGAATGAGGTGGAGTCCTTAAGGATGAACAAGGGTCAGTTAAGTGGGGTGAACTTCAGCCATGCGCTCCTGGCTGGCTGCCACATTTGTGGAACTGTCCTAAGCCCCAGGACAGTGGCTTGCGGTGAGCCTGGCAGGGTGGGCAAGGCCAGCCTGCAGCCATGCTGGGCACTTGGAAACCACTCGAGGGTCAGAAGGAAGCGGAGAAGTGAACGGGACCGGATCTTTACAATTAGTGTGGTGGATGATGTGCACAGGCGGACTGGGCGGCTGTTCTAGCACAAGGTGCTGGTGGTTTGAAGTGGGGTGATGGCGTTGGAAATGGGAGGCAGTGGCAGGACACCGGAGAAAGAAGTCAGAACCGGGAGAACTTAGTCATGGGTAGGGGGTGTGGGTGTGCGCACGGGGCGGGAGGTGGCTGATGGATGACTCCCGGGTTTCTGAGGCTGTTTCTGAGACCGGGAACCTGAAAGAGGAGCAGCTTTGGGAGATGACAGGTTCGGTTGGGAGCGTATGGAGCTGGCGGTGCTTGCTGGGCGCGAGGTCTGATATTAAGCGACGGTAAGTCAGTCCAGGCGTGGGACAGAGGCCCGAGCTGGACAAGCAGCTCTGGGAGACGGACAGTCTCTGAAGGCACGGTTGGTAATGAAACACATGGAAATGGATCAAATCTTCCAGAGCAGTGCTTCTCACCCGGGGGTGATTTTACCCCCAGGGGACATTGGGCAATGTCCGTGATACATTCTCAATTGTCACAATCGTGGGGGCGGGGGGGGGGGGGGCAGCTACCAACGCCTAGTGGGTAGAGGCCAGGGATGGCGCTAAACTTTCTGCAAAGCACAGGACAGCCCCCACCCCCCAAACAAAGATCTACCCAGCCCAGGATGTCTCAGAGGTGGAGAAAGAGACAAAGCAGAGGGAGAAGAGGAGAGAGTCTTGGGTGGAATCCTGAGGAGCTCTGACATTTGGGGTAGAGCGAGTAGATGAGGAAGGAGGGATCAGCGGGGCGGGAGAAAAGCAGATGGGAAAGGAAGAGACAGCAAGCAGGAAACAGTGGGCCCAGGGTGGAGACCGGGAAGTCAGCCCCTGGGAACGGTGACATTGTATCTTTCTAGTTGAGATCCTTTCCATTTTGATTCTTCTTCCCCGAGCCCCATCTCTGGGCACCCCACATTTCCAGCACCCGGAATACAGAACTGCACTCCGGGCAGGCAGTGTGGCCGAGGGAGATCCCAGGGCTCCACCACTTGCTGGGTGTGTCCGCTTCGGCAAGGGGCTCCGTACCCCCCAGCCTTGGTTTCTTCCTCTGGGAGATGGGCGCGTGGCAGCGATCGAGCGAGGAGATAATAAATTGGCACATAGTAAGTGCTCAATTAGTGGCAGTTACTTTACTTCCTTTCATTTATCATTTATCATCTTGCGGCTAGCTTGCTGATAAGGTATTCTTAGATTTTTATCCAGTCTGCTCTGCCAAAATCCTACTGAAAGTGGGACAGGTTTTTGGGGGAGGTCTCCGGCTGCTTCCTTCTCTTGTAGATGAAGTCCTGTATTCCAGGCTCTTGATGTGAAAAGCACCTTTTTGCAAAGCACGTCTTCTCTCACTACCCCTACCCTCCCTACCCCCACTCCCCCGAGCTTTCTCTTCCAACTTATTCTGGTCCTTTGTATTAAAGATTATTCCATTGGTAGAGAGTCCTCTGGAACATGCTTTGGCTCATTTTTTTTTTTTCTTATCAGACCAGGAAACAGGAAAAAAGGCACCAGACTGGAACCTCTTGGAGGGCCAAGGCATACCAGACCTTTCAAAACTCTCTCCCTGATATTACACAGCAAAGGAGGATCAATTTGGACCACCCTTCACTCTGCCTCTCAGGGTTCGAGGTGTGATGAGGGCATGAGTTAGGCAATCTACTCCGGGGAAACATTTTCTTTCACATGTTCAAGTCTCCTGTTTCATCTTTAAAAATCAATAAATTTAAATTCTAGTCCATAATTTATCACTGTTCATTTTAATATAATAATAAAATTTTATATTCTTTTCTAGATGAGTTACATGATCTCTCTCTACCCCATTAGTTTCCCCAAGGCTCTGAGATATACCACCATATAATCCCGGGAGCATTGGAGTGTGTCAGCTTGAGATCAGCTCCAACTCGACCACCATAAACACCCAACGTGCTCTCCTTGGGTACCATTTACCTCCTGGACATTTGATAGTTTCCTAATGATGCAGGGTATGATGAGCGGATGAAGACAACAGCCATGGAGCGCTTATATCTGGAATAAAGTGTTCTCCCGAGAAATGGGAAGGTTCCTGAATTCTCCGTGGCTTCAAAGAGAAGAATATGGTTCTCTTTTTCCAGCTTGCAGAATTTTTCTAACTGGAGTTTTAGTGGTAGCAAAAAAATGTTTCCATCTTACTTGGGGGTACCTCTTGAAGGGGTTTGGTGTAATTTCTGTTGGGCAATGGTCTGGACCTCACAGGTATTGAGACTGGAAGTGCTTTTTGCGTTTTGCAAAGCCATCCATTATAGACACCCTCTGTGTTTGCAGACATGGCCACGAAAACTGGCTGTCAGAGCCTCCCAGGAATGATGCCAGAAGAAACAGAATGTCAAAGACAATGTCCTGTTCTTTGTCTCTTGAGAAAGAAGTCATCCCCAGGTTGCTCAGGCATGGATGGAGTTGACTCTTCTCTGACACATCACACACACTGCAGTTAAGTTTGCAGAGATTCCAAACAGGGATTACAGGACCCGCTAAGGAAAACACTGTCTTCTTATTTTTTTGCGCATCTGAACAAAATGGCTTCAAATTTACATAATTAAAATTCTGGTGTCTTTCAGATCATAACAATGGGTAATTAACATTGTTACTAGTCAGCTGGGAAATACCTCGGGAGGAGGATATCAGAGCCCAGTCGTTTTATTTTGGGCCACATCTCATGGACAATCAGGGCTAATTGAATCACCCCCATCTCATGGAAAATGAATGAAAGAACACTGAACGTTGCTAGCCCGGCTCACAATCAACTCAGAAAGGCTGCTTGCTCAAACAAGCCTGCGCGAGATCAGAACCTCAACCCTGCATGGAAGACAGCGGCCTGACAGTCTAATTTAGAAGCGTTGCTTAAAATCTTAATCAGCACGTTGAAATTAACAGAGGCGAGTTTCGACACCATGTTTGTTGTTTATGGTTATCAATTTTAATAAACGTTAAAATGTTTTTACAGGTGTGGAAAAAGGCACATCCCGGGGACACCACTCTCCTCCATTTGTACTCTCTACCAAGAAAAAAAAAGAAACAAAACCATGTCATCGTCAAGAATGAAGACGTAACATAGTCATCAGAGCTTGGCTTCCTTTTATTTTGTGGCTCCCTGAAAGCTATCTGCAGTCCTAAGCCCGGGTCCATCTTCCCTGCACAAGTGATATCTTGATTGACACATCTCCAAATAAGCCTGTGAATAGCTTTCCGTATTAGCCGCAGAATAATTCAGATGTCAAATTATGGCTCACAGACTCCCTGCCTCCTCCCAGAATGAATTTTTTAAATATTTGGGGGGAAAATATTAAATTTTGTTTGGGTTGGGTCAAAGTTCATATCATTTGGTAATAAAGAGCCACCGAGGGTGTTTGCGTAGGGTGGGTTCCGTTGATTTTATTTTGTGCCACAGCTGCAGGTCAGGCTGACCCTTGGCTAGAGGTTTGGCGCGTGCAAGTCTGCGGACTCTTGCACCTTTGCAGCTCGCCGTGGGTTTGCTCTGGACAGACAAGGGAACGAGGAAAGAAGAGAGAAGGAGAGCAAGGCACTCTCTCTCTGCGCAGGACTCCTGGCTGATGTCATCTCTAAATATGCGGCTTTAATTGCTCTTCTCTGCAGCAACAAGGGAAGAGAGCTTAGTTGCTTGTCTTCATCACCGTCGAAACCGCACAGCTGACGAAGCCCGGATTCCCGTCCAGCAAGCCATCCAGAAGCATTTCTGGCAAGCAAGAAGGCAAAGCAGTACCTGCCGCCTGATAATGACCACTTTTCATAATATTTGTTGGATGCTCTGTAACATGTGGCTGAGAAAACTCTCATTATTACTGGCTGTTGGCGCAGCTGTAAATATTTAACCAAGAATGCTACCTGCTTTGTGGAAAGACTTGCTAATTACACCTGCTTCTCCCTATAATTACATATTGTAAAATTCCACGATAATGACACAACTGCGTCTTCCTCATGCAAGAGGTAAATTTATACCAAGGACGGCACCAGAATTTCCATAAGCAATTAGCCTACACATTTCCATCCCTGTGTTTTCCTGTGATTTTATTGAAATGAAAGATAATGAATTAAATACAATTACAGCAAGAAGACAGCTAGCAACTTGATGTTCCTTTCAAACCGCAGTTCCACTTCATAAGCAAAGTGAGGAGAACGGTGTTCCTGCTGAATACCTTTGAAGCATCCCGATAAATTAGAAATATCAGCCTGGTAGCACCGACCCTGATAAACAGCCCGTATCAGGGGCTGGGGTGCTCTTGACAAAATGCTTCTCGAAAAAGGCGCACATTTCGAGTTGGAGGGACGAGGGGTACCACTCTTGGCTCGTAGACTGATGATTAGTGGAATGACTCTATAAAAAAAAAATAAGTTTTCCCAGATGCGATAATAAAGCCCAAGATAATAATCTGCAGTTCGCAGGAGATTTAGAGACACAACCCCTCTCCGGGCTACGAGAAAGGTTTAGATGCTGTAATTAGGGGAATTTTGTTCCAAGATCCAGAGCCACGGTGCCTGAAAAACAAAACAAAATGAGAGGCGTGCGATGCACTTTCAAAATGACCCCGCCTCAACATCTCTGTTGTTTTCTCCCCCCGCCCCCCGCTTTTTTTTCTCTTCCCTCCTGGTCTTTTCTCTCCACCGCTCTTCTCCCTCTGTATACACGCAAGCATCTCAAAATGTCAGAAGCAGAGAAGTGACCCACCCTTTCCCGGCACAGGGGACAATTACACTCTGATCTCTGCGTCACTGCAGACACAAACACAATCCCCAGGGTTCATATAGGCTCTCCGTCCCGGTTTTAAACCTGATGATGAATTTACTTATTTATTTAGCGGTCATGACTGTTCCTAGGAACACTTTGGTGAAGAGGAAGGTGATGGCGTAATTACGGCAGGCGGGGAGAGAGCATGAGCAGTGACAGCCCCGTGGGCCAGGCAGGACCCCCGGAGCTGATAGGTTGTCCTGCCCAGCCCGGCCGGGGGACCGTTCTGTTCGATTTCCTCTCGGTGGCGGGGCTGGAGTGCGCTCGCCTAATGGTCGGCTGTCGATACAGTAAAAATGCTAACCCGTCTTTGCCTCTAATCCATTCTGAGAGGGCTCTTTACAGAAATGGCCTCTTCCATTTCTTCATTTTCAGAAAAGCCAATCAAGGAAGATGGACCCGCACGGGCTGTTGGCACAGTGTTTTTGTAAGTGTGTGTGTGTGTGTGTGTGTGTGTGTGTGTGCGTGTGTGTTTAAAAAGGCACGATGATTAATTTTGAGACACAGTATTTTGTGTTGTCTTTGACGATTTTCTTCCCCGCCTTTTTTTTTTTAAGGGCTCTAAAAATCAATGCTACGCTCCACGACCATCCATCTTTATATAGTAATAAATTAAGTGGGAGGTATTGATATTTTTGACTGAGCTTTTAAAATTTACATACTAATGACAATTATACCCTGGTGACTGTTGATTTCTGCTGTTGTTCACTGTGCGTGACTCGGGCGAGAGGCGTTTGAGTTTCGCCTGTTGGCTCGGCTGTCCCCAAGTGTCCCAAAGCGTCCCTCCACGTCTCAGGTGGGAGACGGAGGTCAGTCGGCAACTGGGTCCCAAGGAGGGGAGCGCCCAGGAAAGCCTTGCTCTCCCGAAGACGTTCTGTAAGCACTCGACCAAGGGCAAGGCCACGTCACCGCAAGCTTGGCAATGAATGTGGTGGAACTGAGGTGGGGTTATAGCAAAATACCACGCAGTGGTGGGCAATGGCCCTCGCCGATGGGCACCGGCAGGGATGTCCTGGTGGTCCTACTGCTGTGCCAGACGTTAACCCTTTAGGTGCCGAATTAAGGGAAGTGAGGAGGTTCTGGGCAAAAGCCAGGGCAATCAGCACCAGAGGGACTAGTGGGGAATGGCTGTTTAGCAACTGGTACCAAATACCCCAATATTTAACACCGATGCAGACTGGGTGAATTTTAGCTCTGGAGATGAACCCCCCCCCGACACACACACACCACTGCCACCACCACCACACACATTTAGAAATCTTGGGGTCCCAGAGGTATTGTGTGCCCTCTCCATTCCTTAAGAAAAAGAAAAAAGGAGAATTTGGAACCCCTGACATGGAGTGCCTGGCTCACCTTGTGCTTACAAACTGTTTCTGGTAAATTCAGAGTTTGGGCAGCCATGTGGACAACCACTGCCTTGCCCCCTCTTGCCTTCTCCCTCCCTCGAGATGGGTGAAGAGCGTCTTCTCAACACTTGGCAAGAGTTTGTTCGGAAGCAGAGACAAAAGCCTAGCAGAAAGGGAATGAAAGGAACAAGAACAGTGTGATTTTCTCCGACGAGACCGAAGCCCTCCGGCCAACCAGAGCGCTACCCGCAGGTAGCTGACCGGGAAAACTACCAACAAACGGGCACCGAGGCCTCAACTTCATTGAGACAATTATGTAGGGCATCGGGACAACCTCTAAGCTCACAAGAGTTTCTACGCGGAGATCAATTTGTCAGTAATATTGATTGTCGGAGGTCCGTTTCATTCTAGTTAAGATTCTACAAGGCACCAACAGCGGCCCCTCGTGCGTGATTTTTTCCTTCTAGAAGGTCCAAGATGTTGAGGAGGCAACTCTGGGAGGCACCCTGCCCCACGTTCTGTCAAACTAGATACCGCCAGGCTGCTCCCGAGGGCGGGGTGCGTGCATTTTGTTTACATTTCGCAGAGGCAGCAATAAATTGTTTGTTTACACACCGAGGTCTGGGGTTTTTTTGTTGTGGTTTTTTGGTTTTTTGGTTTTTTTCCTCTCTTCCCTCCCTGACACGGGTCACCCAGTGGGGCCAGGTGCCCAGCCTGGAGAGGAGCTGGTGGAGCTTGCCAGACACAAACCCTGAAATCATTATGCAGGATTATCCAAATGTGAAGGCTGCTGAAAGCCCACCTTCTCTGGTTTCCTGTTTCAGGGAGAGGGCTCGGTGACATCCAACTGTCCAGGAAGTGCCTTTGCAAGAGTGTGTGCAAAAAAAGGCCAGAACACAGGAGAGGTGTGGAGGAGAACTCACTTTCATCAGAGGATCGGCTTTCAGGCTGGTTTGGGAGCCCAGAACATTATTGTGTTACACGCAGCAGTGAAATGCGCCTTGTCCCGCTTCCTTCTACCCAACCCCCCCCTTTCTTTTCTTTGAGTGTTTTTGAAATAAAAGAGTGTTTTCTTCCAAATTGTGCTGGGAGGCAAATTCTTGAACGGTGTAATAGAAAATGTTAGACAATATTCCTTACCGGAGCTATTGACATTTTAGATAGTTGTGACACTTTGATTTTTCTCAAAACATATGGATCAAGCCTGGCTGCATTATTGGACAGGAAGTCCTGATGAAAGGCCTTCCTTTATCTTTCTTTGTATTCCCCCGCTCTGTTTGTTCATGGCTTTCTCTCTGAATATAATCGTGGTTTTCTTAAGCTGTCCGGGGAGTCCTTACCGCCTTACTAAATATTTCATGGGGCACAGCACACCATACCTGCCAACTGCGTCTTATTTGTTGTCAAAAATAAAGGGTTCACCCTTCGGAGTGGGGGAAGAAAAAGAGCGCCGGTTTATTCTATTGTTTTTGTTTTAAAGTTTCTCATCCGCCCCAAATGCATGGAGGCGCTGGAAATCCGGGAGTGGTGCCTTTCATTTGCCAGGGACGCGGCTGGCCATTTATTTATTTATTTGCGGCGCCCTCCTTTCTATGATTCCCAGCATTTGTTCCTTTGCAGTTTCCCATCCTATTTGTTTAAAAGGGAAAAGTTCAAAGCGGCTCTGCCAGCTGAGGGAGAAGCCTGCTGAATACGAACCCTCCAGCACCCGCCTTCGCTGACCTTGAGAGCCCAGCGGTAAACGGTCCCATTGCCAACCCGCATGTGTGTTTGGTTAGACCAGGTCGGGGGGGTCAGGGCTCACCTGAGGCCAGCCGAGCCGGGCCCGACCTGCCTGAGCAGCGGGGGTAATGCATTTTTAAAAGGGACATTCTCCACTCTGAATGGGCCTAATATGGTCTCTGTTTAAAAACCTGTCAGAATCCCAAGCACACACTCCATAAAATATAAATAAGTACTTACTGTTTGCAGATGTTGCTTGTTTTTCATAATGTTTGTATTTGAAGTCTCGAATCCTCACTTCCTGTCAGGTTCCCCCATGCCTCTCTCCTCCTGTTTCTGAAGGAACAAGGGAGAACTTCAGATCACAATTTCTCAATGAAGACACTTTCTGTCAAGCCTGTCAGCGTCCCTGGTACAATTAGCATCCCCCCCCCCCCCGCCTCTCTTTCTCTCTCTCAACACTGATTTATTTCTGGCCCATTTTACCTGGGCCGTGGAGAGCTACCTCTCTTGTTGGCGCCTTTGCAAGGGGCTCCAGGCTCAGGAAGGTGTGATTTTTTTGTGTGTGTGCGTGAGACCCTGAAAAGCAAAGCTGGAAGTCAACAGGCCTGTAAACTGCACACTTAGATTAATTGGAGAGAATTAGGAAAAAAGACTATGGGGAACCTCCATCATCGTTCCTGGGGAAATTCAGAGATAGGGCCTCATATGTCTTAGCCATGTTCATCCCGAGAGCCCCGGTGATAAATTCAGTGCAGGTGTCTGATTAATTTATCCATGCGTTCGGCTACGTCTGCGCCATCCGGCCCCTGAAGCTGACCCCGGGATTCCTACCAGGGTCTTCCTCGGGCCTTCCCGGCGCTGCCCCGGGCCTACCCCGGCTCCAAAGCCGCTCCGCAGAGCCTGGGGGAGAGCCCGAGGGGGGCTCCATCTCTACCCCTGTGCCCATGGGACCCCTTCTCAGCCTCCTGTCTCCCTTCTGATTTCCTGCCGGCTTCCCCCCGGGGGGGGGGGGGGGGGGGTGGGGGGGGGGGTGGGTGACAGGTGGGACCGGGGCGCGTCTTTTTGCATGACAAAGCCAGCAGGTCGTTTATCCCAGAGTCCCCACTGGACAGTGCGCTTGTGAAGAGGACTGTGGAAGTTGCTTTTTGTTCGGCAGCCCTCCCACGATTCAGCTGAACATTTTAATAACCCACTCTCTGGGGCTCCCACCTCGCCAACTTAGAGAGCGAAGTGGGAGCGCTCTCCGCAGGCCCAGGGACTTGCAGAAGTGGGCGTTTAGGTGTGTATTTCTTTATTTGCTTTTATTTTTTTTTAACTCTTTATGCAATCCTCTGGTTAAAAAGGCCAGCACAACCCTTGTTCTCCAACCCTGTCGCTTCTTTGCTTGGAAAGTAGTAGTTTAAAAGGGCCCCTCTGCAAGGTCCCTGCTCTGCCTTACTTCTCAGGTCCCTGGTTCTGAAGCCAGTGGTCAGCAGTCTCCTCAAGAACCGAAAGCCTGCTGCCCCAGCCCCAAATCACTGCTAAGGATCAAAGACTCCCCTTCACCCACTTGAGCTGGAGATTGATGATAGTGCTGTTCACCTGCCATTTGCTTTTAGTAATAATAGTATTTAAAAAAAGAAAGGAAGGAAGGAGAGAGAAGGAGAGAGAAAGGAAGAAGGAAAGAAGGAAGGAAAGGGAAGGAAGGAAGAAGGAAGGAGAGAAGAGACACACCAGGCCTTCCCCAGTTTCTCCGGGCTTTCGGGGAGGATCCGATGAGAAACACGTGCCCAGGACGGCGCAGCTCCGTGCTAGAATCAGGTCAGTGGGGCTCACTTCATCTCCAAAGCACAGACCCCATAAATCAAGATGAAAATCCTTCAGCCCCCAAAGCCTTACCAATTGACACAATTTGAAAATGGGCAGCAGAGAGGCTGGGAAGAAGGCTGACATGATGACTTTTATAATAGCAGAACGTTTAAGGTTCTAGAAATAAAGGAAGAGGAGGAAATCAGGCACGTTGGTCTCTGCCTGCAGGCTCTCTGGGCTCTCACTGGAAGCTCCCACAATTATTTCTGCTCTGGCTTTCCCCTCCTTTTTTTTTTTTTCCCCCAGCAATCTGTTTGAAATGAAGCAGAACCGGGCATGGCCAGCTCATCAGTGTCATTAGCTGACAGGGCGCCCGGCACACCTGCTTTTACTCGCTGCCATTTCAAGCACGAATGCCACAGAGAATGTGGCTTGGGTCCTTATAATGTGTAAAGATTCATTTATTTCACCTTTTGAACCTGCCTGACCCCCTGGGCTTGTGTTGGGGAGCGGGGAGGAGGACTGGAGAAGGTTGTTGTTTTTTGTTTTTGTTTTTTTTTTCCTAGCACTTAGAAGAAGCTGACAATTAGGGGTCTGGCCCTGGGGCTGTTGTTAGGATAGAAGCTTAAGAGAGAGGTGGGAGCTTAGCCAGGGAGGCCCTGGTAGGGCTTGGGCCACCGGACCCCGGACCGGGGACTGGGGGGATGGCTCTGAGCACCATTCCCCTGGCTGCTGGCTCCCTGGCTCTGGCGGTGGCCCACATGCAGGGACTGCTTTGACACGGAGGGAGGCACCCTTACCTTCCGAGGCCCCGCCCCGCCTCACACCACACCTATTGCAATGCACCCACCTCTGCTGTTCACTATGACTGTGGGAAAGATCTCTAAACATCATTTTGCCCTTGGAATGATTTGGCTCTGAGTCCCGCATTTCATTTATGACGGTTGAGGTTTCTTGGCAATCATGTGCACCTAGGAATTCCTGCAAAGGGAGAAATAGCTACCCTTCAAACTGCTTTCCAATATAATGGAATTTTTATGAACACTAGTAACTTTGCCATTAATGACGTTGAGATGATATTAAGTTTTGCAGACATTTTAATTAAACCTCAATTAATTTTAATTTTATGGTGTTCTTTTCATATTTTGGAATATGAACATATATTATATATTATATCATATACGATTACATATATTATTAAATATTATTTTACATATAATAATAGATATATTATATTATAATATTATATATCATAATATAATATATATGTATCTCAAACATTTTCATAACCTCTGGAAAGGAAAGGCTGGTAGCCCCAAACCTGATACCCCAGGTGTCTGATGACACTTTTCCTCCTGTTTTCTTCTTTTTCTTTTTCTTGCTTTCCTTTGGTATGGCTTTGACTTCTACATTTTCCCTTTTAGAAGTTTTAGTGTGCAGGCTTAGTTTGCTAGGAGTAAAAAAGTCATTCTTGTTGGTGGACATTACACTCTTAGGACTTGGATTCTGTTTCCTTCTATTTTGTAGCCCCTGCCTGGTCCTAGTGAGAGTTGGTTATATTCTTCAGCCTCTGCCTGGAAACCTGGGGCTTCCTTCATTTCTTGATTCTGCCTTCTTTTTGGCACCTTGACTGTGCACCTCTGTGGTTCCTGCCTTACTAGTGTAAGATGAGCTCTTTCCTAGAAAACCCCAGGCCCAGGGAAGATCGTCTTTGTTGGCCTGTTGAACCCAAGCTGAGTTTTCTAACCAAGGGCATCACTGCTCTAGGCATTGGGGCTCTCTTGAAACTTGCAAGCATGTACCAGAAAAACATCTGTCCCCACCCATGAAATAGATTCCTTTGCTATCCCCTGAGTTAATGATTTCGGGGCTTTAGCATCTTTTATGGTGCATGAGTTTCCAGTGGTTCTGCTTGATCCTCTCGGTGGCAAAGTATTCCTGGATTTGTGATGAGATTGATTTTATTTTTAAAAGCTGCAGATTCCGAGTGGAGCCATCCATCAGTTGACTTCTGTCTGAATCCCCTTCCTGGTGGAATTTCATTCTTGCAGACACTGCACAGCTCCAAGTTCATATACTTGAATTCTAAAGATGCTCTGGGATGAAAACATCTCAGTTCCCAGTCTTGGGAAGTGAGTATAACATCATATAATCTGGGCATGTGTATGGCTGCATGGTGAATTAATACTTGTCAGACCTTGTTACTCTGAAATGGCCGTGGCAAGGTAATGACCATCATTCATTTTATTTTATTACTTTTTTTTATTTGATTTCATTTAGGCTTTGGCAAAGGTGAGGGGACTGACTCGTATTTCCTGTTTATGTTTGATATCCAAAGCCCCTGGGGGAGGGAAGGCGATGCTAGCGGAAATTATGCAAATTAAAGAGGAAATTTGCGAAGACACCTTGACAAACTCAGAAATGAGAACATCTAGCTTTAACTGTTTGGTCACCCCGATTCTCGGCTCTTGCACTCGTGGTCAGTGAAGAAGGTCTGAAGAGGGCACAGAGCAGTGTGGCTCACTGAGTGAGTGGCTGTCTTGTTTGCAGGTGAAATGGTGGTTGAGGTTTAGCGTCCAGAAGCAAAAAAAGCTAAGTTTTGTCTTAGCAGCTAATTGAGAATAGGAAGCCCACTCTATGATGAAACTTCAGGTTTTCTCAGCCAACAAATCCTCCCTAGGCCTGTTAGAGTACGTGAAATTATGAAGGGAGGCCTCAGTGAGGCGTCGTGGTGGTGGGGGCCTCCCCTGGGAAAGAGGCCATTCCAAGTGAAGGAAAACTCAACAGCAGGGCATTCGGTGCTGGGACAGAAGGCAGCATGGTGTACTGGGAAGCAATAGAAGTTTGAATCCCACTTCTGACACTTCCTAGGTATGTGACAAATTTTAAAACAGGCCATTTTACCTCTTATTATAAATCCAATATATTTTTTTAACTGCTCCCCATGATATGTGTAGTCACCGTCTGTCACCATATGACATTATTATAGTATTATTGGCTAGATTCCCTATGTTGTACTTTTCAACTCCATGACTTATTTATTTTCTAAAGATTTTATTTATTAATTTATTTGTTAGAGAGAGAGCACAAACAGCGAGAGCAGGAGAGGGAGAAGCAGGCTCCCCACTGAGCAAGGAGCCCGATGCGGGACTCAGTCCCAGGACCCCAGGATCATGACCTGAGCTGAAGGCAGATTGCTTAACCAACTGAGCCA